GGGGAGAGGGGTGGACTGCAGGGTGGGACACGGGTGGGAAGAAGGGCAGGACTGCGGGTGTCTGAGTGGGGAGGGACCTGCGGGATGGGGAGAGGAGTGGACTGCAGGGCTGGACACGGGTGGGAAGAAGGGCAGGGCTGCGGGTGTCTGAGTGGGGTGGACCTGCGGGAGGGGAGAGGAGTGGATTGCAGGGCAGGGACATGGGAAGAAGGGCAGGACTGCGGGTGTCTGAGTGGGGTGGACCTGCGGGATGGGGAGAGGAGTGGACTGCAGGGCGGGGACACAGGTGGGAAGAAGGGCAGGGCTGCGGGTGTCTGAGTGGGGAGGACCTGCGGGATGGGGAGAGGAGTGGACTGCAGGGCGGGGACACGGGTGGGAAGAAGGGCAGGGCTGCGGGTGTCTGAGTGGGGAGGACCTGCGGGATGGGGAGAGGAGTGGACTGCAGGGCGGGGACACGGGTGGGAAGAAGGGCAGGGCTGCGGGTGTCTGAGTGGGGAGGACCTGCGGGATGGGGAGAGGGGTGGGGCGTTTGGCCGGGAAACAAGATCATTGTGCCCAGGCACCTGACAGCCCATCACGTGGACGGGGTGAAGGCACAGGAAGACCAGACCCAGGCCAGCGAGGATGACAGACACTGAATCTGAGGAAACCAGTCTGCTCCGATGGTCGGCGATGAGACTTACAGCTACGGACATGAGTCCTTTAAGCCTTGGGGAGCAGCCTCCTCTGCATCACTGCACCAGGCAGGGGTTTTCCTAACTGCACTTCTACCTAATGCGATTCCTTTTTTCAAAGAATATTTTTTCTTTATTGATATTAGAGAGAGGGAGGAAGGGAGAAGGACAGAGAGAAACATCGATGAGAGAGAACATCCACTGGCCGCCTCCTGCACGCCCCTCACTGGGGATCGGGCCCACAACCTGGGCATGTGCCCTGACCGGAAATCAAACCGCTGACCCCCTGCTGCAGGGTCAACGCTCCACCACTGAGCCACACCGACCGGGCAATGATTCCTTTGAAAGACTTTATTTCCTCCAAGACACAGAACTAACCTTGGTACTTGGTCTATATAATTTCTCTCAAAGACTGTACCTCTCTCTCTCTCTCTTCTCCCCGTTTTGCTCCTTTGCGGGGCTGGTTTTCCTGGCTACAACAGTGGCAGAAACAGACAGAAGTCGTCTTGAGGGGATTAAACGACATCCTTATAAATTAAGATTAAGTTCTTTCAGAACTACAGAGAGATTTTTGGTGTTTTCCCCTCCTGTAGACAATTCGGACGGCGAACCCCATCCTTCTGTCTCCCCTGTTCTCTCGGAACAATTGAGTGGGTTCACGTGGGCAGTTCTGTAGTGATCAGACAGGACCGTACTCGGAGCTGACTGGCCGAACGGCGACAGCAAGATGCTCCCGAGTGAAAGGAACTGACCGGACTTTTCACACGCATGCTCACCACACCGCCGGGAGGGCTGGACTGTGGCAAGAGCTTATTAACCTGACTATGGCAGGTGCTCTTCCGTGTAGTGCAGTTAGTGCAAACGCAGCTTCCCTGGGTTTGTGTGGCCCACACAGAGTATTCGCCATCCTGCGTGATGAAGAGTGAACGTGTGCACACGTGGCGTCTCCTGTCCCTGACGTGACGATAATACCAAATGACAGACTGTGTAAAAGAATGATACAATGCCCAGAAGGAGAGGAAATGCCACAAAAAGTTACAATTTTATGCGTAAACTTTGGCAAAGTGTTGCAGTAAATTACCATTTTCTTTGCATCAGTCACGGTGCCCAAGAAGACTCTTTTAAACAAATAGTCATCTCTGGAATTTTGCTGAAAGACCCTTGTTCACTTTAGGCTTTTTGCAGGATGTCGCTGCTTTGTGGGAAACCAGTAAAAACAAACTCCATCCATTGTTACTACCTTTACATCAAAGGAAGATGGAGTACTTCAGAGATCCTCTGTGCAAAACAAGAGGAAGCTGAGAAGCTAACTCTGCTCACTCTGTTTGCTGTGTTTGTTCTCATTCATAGTGTTTTTCATTTTGGAATACATCTGTTATTTCTTTTTGTTTTGTGTTTCTTCTTAGTATATCATAGTAATATGTTCCCTTATTGGGATAGCTGGATGTTGTTTGGTACCTGAGAGTGTTACGCTATTTATATCTTGTAATTTGGATAAGAATTAAATCCTAAAACACTGACATTTATAAATTTTTATTTAGTAGATTTACTTCATGATAGAGTGTGGAGCCCTGGCCGGTTTGGCTCAGCGGTTAGAGCATCGGCCTGTGGTCCAGAGAGACCCGGGTTCGATTTCCACTAAGGGCACGTACCTCGGTTGCAGTTTGTCCCTGGCCCCAGTTCGGTTGTGTGGGTGGCAGCCACTCGATGTGTCCCTTTCACGTCGATGTTTCTCTCTCTCCCTTCCTCTCTCTCCCTCCCCCTCTATCTGAACAACAGCAACAAAAAAATGATAAGAGTGTGGAGAAAAGATACGTATTTATCCAGATGCAGAAAAAGTATTAAGATGATTTTGGAAGTGACACCGTGAAGAAAGTTTTATGTGAAACTTCCCAGGAACGGAAATGACTGAATTTTTTAACTGAGTTCGCAATTACATGTATCTTAGAGATGTAATTCTAGTCCTAGAACAGTGACAGGTAAAAAAATGCTTATTACTGCTGAACAATTAATGGGAAAAACTGGGTTCTTTCCAAGTATGATCACGTTTCCATAACTTGTAATTATAGATGTCCCGAAGCTTTTGTGACTTCTGGCGCCAGGAATATTAAATACGTTCGCGTCCTATCCATTTGGTACTGGGATTTAACCTAACACTCACCATCTCCGTGTCCTCTTTGCCCTTCTTTTAGGAGGCATGTACCTTTTAGACAGCTTGCTGAAGGAGTTAGGAAGGAATCCTCAACCAGAATAACACGGGAAGCATCCTGGCCCAGGAACGTGATCTAACCAGCTTTATGGAGGTGGTCGCAGCTCGGTCTTGTGGACGGTGTGGAGACGAGGCCACTGCCGACGGTGTGGGGTTTCGGATACAGTGTCGAATTCCTTTGTCAAGAGAAAACTCAAGTTTCCTGGGCAGTTTATAGAACGTGGAATTTGAGCACAATACTAAAAGCTCTTTTTTTTTTTTGACTCAGATTGAGTTCAAATTGACTCCAGGTTTACCAAGTAGCGATGTCAAGTTGCCTTGTGTGAGCACAGTGCTCAACGTGTCTGAGGTTTTCACTTGTCTAGTATATATTGAAGCTTATCGTTTGTCAGGCATTACACTGTTTGGTTCTCATTTAAACCCCCTCCCCCAGTTTTAGGAAATAGATTGGGAAACAGGGGCTTTCGAGGTTACAGACCTGACCGGGGTCCTGCGACAAGTAAGTGGCAGAACAGGCTTGACCCAGGTCACTCCGATGCCAGGCTGCAAGCTCTGAGCCGCTGAGCCAGTGGTTCCCAGATGCCCAGGATTACCTGGAGAGGCAGGTTAAACATTCCTGGCTGGGCCCTAGAGCCCCCGATTCTGCAGGCCTTCTGTTGTGTCCCGGACGTGTTGTTATTGCTAACCCGTCCCTAGATATTGATGCTGCTGGTTGTGAGAATATACTTGGAGCCGGTGCCACTGGAGAGTACAGGAGGCAGTCCACGTGCCTGCTTACCACATCCCAGACCCTGCTCTAAAGGAACCCCCTTTTGTCCTCCTGTTCGTCTTGGGAGGCAGTCCAAGTGTAGGGGAGGACGGGGTGTGATCACCACTTAGAGAAGGAAGCTGAGGTTGAGAGAGGTGCTCGGGGAGGTGGTGTCATGAGGAGGCTGCTTGTGTGGCTGGCCTGGCTCTGAGGGCACAGCTCGGAGCCATCATCATGACAGACCTCTGAGGGGAGACGGAGGGGGACCCTCCCTGCCTTTCACCCGTTGGCGTCTGTGTCCTTGGAGGAGGGCTGCGGCGGTGAGGTCTGGGAAGAAAGGGTTTCCCTCATTCCTTGTTCTGCCAGCTTTCTGAGGGTGACTGATGGATGATGCGATTCTGGGGGTGCCCTGCATTGCAGTGGAACCATGAGACAGTGGGTGCTGATTCGCGTAGCTGAAGGGATTCCAGGTCACTTGTATGTAGGAACCGTGCTGGGTGCCTGCCCGTTAAATTAGAAGATATGTTCGCTGCTGTTGGCCATTCTGCAACAGGGCCTCACGAATCCGCAGTGTTCACTGTCCGACAGCCCAGGGAAATCTCAGAGGCCAAAATCAAGGAAGCGAGACAGGAATGCACCCATCATTAAGTCTGAAATCTGCCCTCTGTTAGGAAACTGTAGTTTCCCTATTAGTTTTAAAACTTAAAGAGAAACTATTAGGTAGTTTCAACAGGTGAGATCACATTGATGTATAAATACTGTATGTGTTTGGTTCCATTAAAATCTTGTTGAGTGACTATCATGTGCAAGATACTTATAAAAAAAAGATGTTTGTATCTCTTCTCAAGAAGAACTCACAGTGGACGTCACCACTGAGTGTTCGGTAATTCATGTAAGAGCCGAGGTTAGTGTGGCCTGGTGTGCATCTTGTCTTAGAGGTGCTGCTGGGGTGATTTCCCTGAAGCCAGCCTTCAAACCAGGGATAGAGTTTTCTTTCTGATGGGGTGTCTGTTGAACTGTGGAGCTAGACGGAGCTCGATCCCAGCCCTCTTCCCGCTCAGCCTGGTGTGCTCCCTGTTTAAGATGGCCTCGCTGATTTGTCGTAACATTTTATCTCCCAGTCTCCAGCTGTGAACGTTCAAAAGGGTATATGATGACTTATTGCTACCTTTTTGGATACTCATCTCTGTATTTTCTCCTCTTTTTTTTTTTTTGTCTTTAATATTTCAACACAGTAGGTGCAGACTCTAGAAACAGTGAGGAACCCCAGGAAACGTAGCCTGGACACAGCTTGGGGTGGGGTGCTGGCGTGTGACCGTGCGGTTTGATGGGAACCCGCCCGGGCATCATCTGTTCTGGTTTCTTGCAGGTTAACGAAGCCCTTGTCGTTCGCCGACTGTGTCGGGGATGAGCTGCCGTGGGGCTGGGAAGCCGGGTTTGACCCGCAGATTGGTGTCTACTACATCGATCACATCAACAGTAAGTGTTCCTTTCCCGTGACAGCAACCCTATCAGAAAAGTAATCCGCCCTGGCCGGTTTGGCTCAGCGGTTGGCGCACTGGCCCGCGGACCAGAGAGTCCCGGGTTTGGTTCCAGCTAAGGGCACGTGCCTCAGTTGTGGTTTGTCCCCAGCCCTGGTTGGGGTCATGTGGGTGGCAACCAGTAAATGTGTCTGTCTCACATCGATGTTTCTCTCTCTCCGCCTCCCACTCTATCTGAAGATAAAGGCAAAAATGCCCTCGGGTGAGGATAAAAAAAAAAAAGGAAAGTAATCCCCCCAAATCTAGAGTTGCATGAAAGAGTGAACATTTTGCCAAGGGAATGTCTTCATTTAACCAAAATGCCCAATGTGGAATTTGGGGCGTGTGTGTGGTGTTGGGCCTATGGGGGCAGAGAGAGAGAAAGGCCTCTGTCTGTCTGTCTGTCTGTCTGCCTGCCTGCCTGGCAGGGTGTGTTCCCCTCAGGGCAGGTCTAGACACCTGCCAGGCCTCCTCTTCCCAGGACCACGCACCTTCAGGTGGGGCTCCTCCCTTTCTGTCCGTGCCATGGCGGGAGGCGGGCACTGGCGCAGTCTGGTCTAGTGGTGCGTCGGGTGTGCGTGCGTGTGTGTGCGCGCGTGTGTACGTGTGCATGTGTGTGCGCGTGTGTACGTGTGCATGTGTGTGCACGTGTGTACGTGTGCATGCGTGTACGTGTGTGTACGTGTGCATGTGTGCCTGGCTCTGGGGTGGAGGGAGGGACTGTGGCTCACTGCCGGCTCAGGAAGAGGGACTGTAGCTGTGGAAAAGCCCTACACCCTCGTCTGGTTTCTGTTTGCCGATGCCTTCGTGGTTGGAAGGGGAACACCTCCCACTCACCTAGCTTTTACATCTGTCCCACGCTGGCCCTGGCCGGCGTGGCTCAGCGGTTAGAGCGTCGGCTGGTGGTCCTGAGAGACCCGGGTTCGGTTCCCGCTAAGGGCACGTGCCTTGGTTGCCGATTGTCTCCCGCCCCGGTTGGGGTCGGGTGGGTGACGACCAGTTGATGTGTCTCTCTCGCATCGATGTTTCTCTCTCTCTCATCCTCCCTCTCTCCCTCCTGCTTTATCTGAAGATAAACGCAAAAAAAAAAAAAAAAATTTTTTTTTAAATCTGTCCCACCCTGACACGCGAGGCTGCCCTGGGGACCGCCGTGGCCAGGAGCAGCTTTTGGAACACAGACTCGAAGTATTTCTCTACACTTCTTTATGTATGTGTGTATATGTGTTTGTATTTCTATTTAGCTATTTACCCCTTTAAAAGTTTGTTCAGATGGTTGCATGTAACACTCACTGATACTCATTTTGCTTATTGCACTTAAAAATAATTATTTTAATTTTATAGATTTTGTGGTAATACATAATCAATTTATACTCTATTATTTAAATTCTCTTATGTCTATTCTTACATTAAAATTTTATATAATATAGTACCATTTTGTATCTTTAGGAATATCATTATGGAAAATTATTTGATTTGATGCTCATGAGATAACATTTTTTGAGAGGCACAAAGAGCCCATATTAATAGCAGTGATCTTTTAGAAATCTCAGAATGTTAGCTATGTAAAGTATGTTCACATCACATATCAAGTTTGTGAAAATACCCTGCCCTGGTTCCGTCAGGGTCTGTCTTCAGCTGGGCAGACATGCGTTTCCCAGGGCAGCTGGGACCGGCTCCAGGGGTGCTGCGACCGCAGAGGCCGAGGCCGTGGCCCGCGGCCGGGCGGGTGAACCCACGCGAGGCTCCAGTGGAAGTCAGGTTGGGGTGAAGGGTGCACGCCAGCAATTCACACCGAAACGAGGCGCTGCGCCTGGGGACAGGCAGGGTGGGACAGGACAGTAAGACGCCCTCGCTGGCGGGTGGTGCCCGAGCCAGGGCTGCTGAGAAGCCAGTGGGTGAGTGCCATCTGCCTTGGGGGGCAGGCGGCGTGGGGGTCACTGAGAGCTGCGCCCGGTTCTCACGGGAGAGCAGAGAGGGGCTCCGTGCTCCCTGGTTTTTCAGTGACCACGTGCTGCCATAGTGTGGGAACCAGCCCTGTGCAGATCGTAGTTCAACACAAGTACAGTGCTGAGTCGACGTTCATCCTGCTGCGTTTTCATGTGATCAGAAGACATGTGACCTTTTTTGTTGAGATAGAATCTCTCCCTAAAGGGTTCTACAGATTTCATGAAGAATTCATAATTGTGCATTTTACAGTGAGCTTTTATCTTTATATTTCATAGTAACCCCTTTATGATACAGTGTTATTATTTATATACTAGGTTTATTGCTTTAAATGTTTATTAAAACATTTAACAACCAAATGTTTTAATATTATGGTGCAAGGGACTGATTTTGTTAAAATTAAGTTCATTTTATTTTTTTATTTTATTATTATTATTTTTTATCCTCACCCGAGGATATTTTTGCATTTATCTTCAGATAGAGCGAGAGGGACAGAGGGAGGAAGAGAGAGAGAGAAACATTGATGTGAGAGAGACACGTCGAGTGGCTGCCACTCACACAACACAACCGGGCCGGGGACAAACTGCAACCTTAGCGGGAACCAAACCCGGGACTCTCTGGTCTGCAGGCCGATGCTCTAACCACTGAGCCAAACTGGCCCGGGCAGTAAGTTCATTTTAAATGATCATAATTCATTTTTAGGTCATAAACAATGCAGTGGAATGTCTGAAGATGATAACTATTTAAATCTCACTTTTATTCTTATTTTGTATGTATAAAAGTTCAGGTTTTTTTCCCCTTAAATAACATTTGGGAAACCAGGAACAAACCTGCCTGTCTTGATCCCACAGAAACAAGCTCTCATGGCATCGAAGTGAGAAAAGCGATGTCCTCATGTCCCTCCGACACCTGCGCAGGGACTCCCGGGTTCTAAGCCCACCCTCAGGGCTTTCTCTCCTGTCTCAGAAGAAGAGGTGTTCTTCTCACGCCCCCCCAAATGCCTCTTAATAACTTTTATATCCCATCCTTCTCTCCTCCTATTCTTCCCTGGTTTTAAACTTTTCTCCACCATTTCTGTATTTCTGTCTCTAGGGTCCTTTTGTCTTAGTCTTTAAACACTGGAAACTCTCAATGTAAAACCAAACCAAAACTACCAAAGGAGAGACAAATAAAACAATGTCCCCCACTTCCTCCTTTCCTCCCACTCACTCCCACTCAAAACCACTTTCAGCCCAGCCCCTGACGTGCTGTGGCCGTCCCTTTCCTTCCCTGGGGACGTGCCGGGGCCGTCTGCGGGGACTTCCCTTCCGCCATTGTGCACCCTCGTTTCACAGGGATGAACTTGCTCTTGCCAAGGTCACCTGAGCCCCACAGATGAGGGAGTCCAGAAAGCACTGGAGTCTAGTCTTCTGATCCGACAGAGTCCCTGTCACTCCGGCTCTTTGCTCCTTTGGACGTGATGACACCCTCCGTTGGAATTTTTTTACATCCCTGGCTGCCCCTGGTCTTGCCTGTCCCTTCTTCAGCTGTACCAGGTAGTAGGACTTCTGGAACAGTCTTCCGTTTTCACCGTGCAGATCTTGGATGGTGACTTCGGTTACTTCCTCGAGGCTGATGGCTGACCAATCTGTCTCTGACTTCTTGTCCCGAGTTCCAGGTCATGTACCTCATTCCTTACTGTAAGTCTCTGCAGTCTGCCCCCACTGGCCTGCATTTTCACCCCTGCCCTGCCCTGCCCTGCACCAGAGGACACTCCAGCTGTGCCCTGTGCTTCCTTGGCCTTCTGCCTTTCTGTGCATTTGTTGGTTTTAGCCCCAAGCACCCTGCCCAGCCCCCAGGCCCTCCCTCTTGGCCAGCTGCCACCTCCTTCTGCTCAGGCCCCGCTACTTCCCAAAGGCCCTGCACCTTGCAGGCCTCCCCCTTGCAGCCCTCCGCCTTGCAGCCCTCCTCCTTGCAGCCCTCCCCCTTGCAGCCCTCCCCCTTGCAGCCCTCCGCCTTGCAGCCCTCCTCCTTGCAGCCCTCCCCCTTGCAGCCCTCCGCCTTGCAGCCCTCCTCCTTGCAGCCCTCCCCCTTGCAGCCCTCCCCCTTACAGTCCTCCGCCTTGCAGCCCTCCCCCTTGCAGTCCCCGCCCGCATTCGGCATAGGTGCCCTGTCCCTGTATTTCTGTAGCTCCGGGTACTTAGGGATGTTTAAAGACCAATTGTTGCCCTGGCTGGTTTGGCTCAGCGGTTAGAGCGTCAGCCTGCGGACCAGAGAGTCCCGGGTTCAAGTCCCGCTGGGGGCACGTGCCTCGGTTGCAGTTTGTCCTCGGCCCTGTTTGGGGTCGTGTGGGTGGCAGCCAGTCAATGTGTCTCTCACACTGATGTTTCCCTCTCTCCCTCCTGCTCTGTCTGAAGATGAATGTAAAAATGTCCTTGGGTGAGGATAAAAAAAAAAAATTAAAAATCACTTGTCATATTAAATGTTCTATTTGTTTGTTTCTCTCACTAAATTGTGTGAGCGCCATGAGGCCAATGACTGCATCTCGGTTTCTTTATCCTGAGTACCCAGTGCTGCGGTAAACTCTTCAGAGTTGGAGGAAGGAAGAGCTTTATTGTTTAACTCACAGACTAGAAGCTTTCTCTGTGTTTCTGAAGAAATTAAAGTGTATTTCAAGTATAAATTATGTTTCAGAAAGCACCGGTCTGAATATTTAAAATCTTAATGATCAGAATATAAACTTTTAGGTCTGCCATTTTGCGGTAGGGCAGTGACGTGTGCGAGGCCTGATGGATGGATCACTGTGCCCGAGTGCCCGGGTACCCTCAGCCAGTGGTTCTCCCGCTAGAAGGGTCTGCTCCATCATCTCATTAATCTTAAAGACAGTCCTGCGAAGCAGTTTAGAGAGCAGACGGTATTATCTTCTCATAACAGCTGGTCCACACATATGTTGTGTCTTCACATTGTATAGTTTCAGCATTATTTTCTCGTTATTTTAATAAAAAAATGAAATAAAAAATGTGTGGCCATTTAATG